TTTTTTTTTTTTTTTGTATTCATTTGAGAGAGAAAGCAAGCATGAGTGGGAAGGGGAGAGGGAGAGAGAGAAGCAGACTCTCTGCTGAGTAGGAAGCCCAACTCAGGACTCAGTCCCAGGACCGTGAGGTCATGACCTGAGCCAAATGAAGGCAGATGCTTAATGGGCTGAGCCACCCAGGCGCCCCTGATTGAACAAGTTTTAAAGAAGCAAGTCTCGATTCTGAGGGATGTAAAAGCGTTAGCCTATTACTGAGCTCAGAAAATGTTTCAAGAAGCTATCATAGCCAGGTTCTGACTAATCATCTGGGAAGAAATAATAAACACATCCTCTGGTTGCTGTGAGTCAGGCTACCCTGGGTTGGCCCTAACGAGGACAGAGACGTGCAGGTGCTGCTACTGTAAGGTCTGCTCCCCGCCATCTTAGACGATAAGAGCAACAAAGGGTTCCCCTTTTTGTACCTGGGGATTGGTGTGGACAGGGAGCCTTTAGGAAGGGTATCAGGGAATCATTGCTTGGGAACGGCTGATTCTGCAAGGACTGGGAGATCCAGCTCAAATCTGTTCTCAAAGGAAACAGCCTCAAATGCAAAAAACGTGCTGTTTGGCACACGGTTTAGGACTGTGCTGTTTTTATCCTTCTATTCTTTAATCACAGACGAGCCTGAGAGACCTGAAGTCTGTGTCCAGATCTGTCCTGCCAAATAAGCTCCTGCTTGAACTTCACAAGTAGTCAGTTGGGATATGCAGTTAGAGGACCTAGCACCAGGGGACAGATATTTTAATTCACTGCATAGATTCTGAAGCCAGGGCTGGAGGAGGACGGTGATTTACCCAGTGTCTCCACCTTCCCCCTCCCTCCGCTGAGCTTTCCTTTCGTGATGGTGTTTCCGTGTGCTTGCTTCGCCGCGGCAGGCTGTGTCTGGCTAGCCTCGGCTGACCATAGGGGGTCGTGGTTTGACGCACCGCTGAGTTCTCAGCTCTGACCTCCTTCCAGTCCGAGCCCTGCGCCATCCCCGCACCTTCTGGTACATGGATGCTGTTGGTCCCAAGGGTAACAGGCTGCAGAGCAGGACAGGGTAGATTGGCTGAAAGGGTCACCACCACCAGGAAGAAAAGTCCAGGAAGGGGAGTTCATTTATTAGATGGAGGCCTCCTGTTTCCACATTTGATTTTGTTCCTCAGCTCTCTTCATCTGATGGTTAGACCTCGTCCTGCAGATGGAAGAGTTGCCCACGAGCATAGATGGCAAGTAGGGTCCTTCAAAAGAGCATGAATTCACCACCTGCCCCACTCATCTCTCCAAACTTTGCCTGGTTTTTGATCCCATGCTTGCCTTCACGCACCAGAGGGGGAACTTCCAAGGAGCTGAGTTCTCAGTGTTTCGTGTCAGTTTAGTAGATCAGATGTTCGATTTTATGGTGCAAACTTTTCCCTGTCTCTCTGTAGACATATCACAGCTGAACATTTTATATATTTTGGCTCTGAAGGGTAGTGACTGATTATCAAAATTCTGTTATCACAATTTATAGAAGTCCTGTGTATTTTTCCCTTGTTCTAGTCACTAAGCATTGGGAATCATAATTTACTTACTCATCAGAGAACATAACAGTTTCTTACTAGATAAAGGGGAAGAAGCTGGTTGGTGTCTTCTAACAATTACTAGAACTCTGTAGAGAAAGAGCGTATTTTAAAAACATATAGTTGGACATATATTTGTGAATTGACTTAACATTTATAGCAGTTGTAAGCATTAGTTAAGAAAAATCCATTTGAGTTCATATATAGCCTAAAAGAACCTAATGGAGAACTTATTTTGGTACTTTATAGACGAGATTTCATAAGTTGAAGTTGTAATTTTTCTTAAACTTTCATAATCCAGGAATTGGCAAGTTTTGTGGCTCATTATTTTAAGGGTGTGAAAAACTTGTAGCATCTGTGTGTTTACGTTTTTACATCCTAAAATGATGTTAACAATTCTACATTTCCAAGGTTTTTTGACATTGAGGGTGGCTTCTCCAGAAATTTGGGAACTGTCAAGAGCACAAGGCATTTGGGGACTTTGGTTTCAAGCAGTGCACATACAGAGAGACCTGTTCCTCCTGGGACCGAGACTGGAGGAGATGCGGGGATGCCGAGGAACCCTAGCACCTGCTAGCCGAGCAGCTGGCCAAGAAGAGGGCATTTCTCAGGTGGTCCACTTGGACCCAGGTCCCGGGTCTTCATGAAGCACATGGATCCCACATTCCAGACTTCAGGTCCTTCTAGGAAACTTTTCGGCTACTCTGTTAGCTCTTAGGAAACGTGGTTAACACAAACTAACCTTGGGACGCCTGGGTGGCTCAGTCGTTAAGCATCTGCCTTTGGCTCAGGTCATGATCCCAGGGTTCTGGGATCGAGCCCCGCATCGGGCTCCCTGCTCTGTGGGAAGCCTGCTTCTCCTTCTCCCACTCCCTCTGCTTGTGTTCCCTTTTTCGCTGTGTCTCTGTCAAATAAATAAATAAAATCTTAAAAAAAACCCCAAACAAACACAAACTAACCTTAACCTAGGATTTTTTGTTGACTATCTTTCATGCCATTGTTTACTGCCGTAAAAATAATAATTGATCATTTTGATGGTAATTTTGTTTCTCCTTGTATATTTATTCAGAAAACATGAAGTACTTAATATGTGTTGGTCACACACATATGTTAGTATGTATACATTGCATGCACATGTTACATATAGGATAAAATAGACCCAAGCAGAGACTCCCAGCTTTGCTGCTGACTGGTCAGATCATTTAACCTCTACAGGAGATCTGTAACGTGGGGTTTGGGGCCAGAAATTTGAACTCGGAGGACCCTTGCAAGACGAATCTTATGTGATAGTATCTACCTACCTCTCATGAGCCAAATACAGCACCATCCACATCTCTGTCTGAGGCTTCCTTTCTGCTTGTTTTTCAGAAATGTGAAAATAAAAACTGGAGAATGGTTCTTTGAGGAACGAGCCAAGAAATTTCCAACTGAAGGTAAATGCTCTTAAGTTTTTTTCTAAGGTAAAATGATATACTCCCAGTTTTAAAATATTTGGTGTTAAGACTTTTGACTATAAAAAACTTTACAGGCTGGGGGCACCTGGGTGGCTCAGTGGGTTAAGCGTCCGACTCTTGATTTCAGCTCAGGTCTTGATATCAGGGTCGTGAGTTCGAGCCCCATGTTGGGCTCCATGCTGGGCATGGAGCCTACTTAACACGAACAAACAAACAAACAAACACTTTACAGGTCATGGTAGGCAGGCCTTGCCCTTCTGAGCTCCTGTTCTGTTTGGTTGTGCTTTCTGCACTTACCCTTTGGCCCATGCTGCTCAGCATCTTTCATTGCAGTGTTCCCCTCAGTACCCCAGCTCTCCCTGGAGTCTCCCCAACTTCTTGCTTGTGGGAGTGAGCTCTCCCTCCTCTGAGACTCCAGCAGCTCTGGTTTGTCCATCCCTTGCATAATTGGGGAAAGTGCCTTATGCTGTACTATTTGTATACTTCTCTTTCTCTCCATATGCAGCAACTGTGCTTTTCAAATCTTGTTAGCCCCTTACATCACTGAGCACAAAACCTTGTTCATGATACTTGAACAAAGTGATGGAATAGCTGAAGGCCCTGGGTAGTGGATGGTATTAGAATTTGGCAGAGGTTGATGATTAGGAAGTGAGCGCATGTTGTGAGTCTCTGAGTGCAAGTGTGCATACGGTCTGGGCAACTGGAATATCTTATAAAGTATTTGTGAAGCTGATGTAATGGTGTAATTGGTACCTGGGGCCAGAAGCCATGGGGAGAACTAATTCTCTGGTAACAGCAATGCCACGTCAGGATGTGAGCTGCACAGACAAGAGAACGGCTTATCAGACAAAGGCACACACGTGTCATCAAAATCAAGTGGAGCCTGCATGCTTGGTGACTCGCGTTCATCCACATGGTAACACACATCCTCTGTGATGTGGGTCAGTGGGGACTGCACACAAGGAGCCTAGTCTGACCTAGAGGGAACAGGGTGGCTTGAAACCCTTCTTTCTTCTGGAAAAAGTGACCGTTTGAGATAAAGAAAGAAGCTATTTAGCCACAACCCAAAATGTGTTGGCAAGAAAGGAAGCCATGTGTTGGAGCACTGACACTCAAGCTTTTAAAAAAGGCACTGTTAGCTGAGGTTGATAATCAGTTGGCATTACATTCTCTCCTGGATTATATTCCAGACTCTTCTTATTCAAGCAAAGATTATGTTTCTGCAGAGTTTCTTACAAATCTGGAAGGAAGTACAATGCTAAGGGGTATGCTCGAGCAAAGGGTGAGCAAGTGCGTGTGGTCTCACCCAGGACAGTGCTTCTCCACACTTTTCCTTACAGCCCACTCTCCTGTCCCAGGCAGCCTTGCTAACACTTTTTCCTAAATACTACCTGTCCATGAAAATTTACTACCCCAGGTATATTTCTGTTTCTGTACTGAGACCTTTTGGAGCACACTAAAATTTGTCTTATCCACTAACCACCCTTTTTGCCTCCCTGGGGCTGTCATCCCCATTTAGGGCATAATCTAGACAAGCATGGCAGCATGAGGTCTAAGTTGTATTGCTTTATTTTGTTTCTTTAAAATACTTTTTTGTTGGGGCACCTGGCTGGCTTGGTTAGTAGACATGTGGCTCTTGATCTTGGGGTTGTGAGTTCAAGCCCCACGGTGGGGAGTAGATTGTACTTAAAATTAAAAAAAAAAACAAAACTTTTTGTTATGGGGCTGGGGTCTTCTTCAGGTGGTAGATTGTCATTTTTTCACTCAGTTCCTACTTCATAAACGGTAAGACTGGGGAGTGAAATTTCTGTAATTTCTCAAAACAAGTCCATGAAGACCTCTCCTGGAAACTTTTTAATACACTGTTGAAAGTTTTAGTACTATTATTTCAATGAGGGAAATGAGCTTGCAGGCCAGAACACAGGTGTGTGGCATGCACGTGTGCGTGCTCCTTACCTTCTCATCATCTTTCTGGCACTCTTCTGGTGAGTAAAAGTGAGCAGAAGCAGTTAGGCTGGCCACCTGACATAAGAAAAGGTGTAGGATAGGAATGAACCTGAAGTCCTGGGTTTCTCTTTTTGGTCCAGCGACTTTCCACCAGAATGAAAAGATCAAGAAAAAAAAAAAAGTAGACAATGAAAGTCAGCCTGAGAAGAAATCATCCTTTTCTCTTACTGTCTCTCCCAAGGTATAAAAGAAACAAACAACAATAAAGAAAAAACAAATTCCTTCCTCCTCTGCACTTGCTCCCTCACATGCCGAGGTGTCCCATTTTCTTATTGTCCAATTTTAGGCGAGTCGGGCTCAAAAGGCGGGGAGAGCCCAGGGAAAAGTGCCGAGCTGGGGGAACACACGTGTGAGCTCGGGTGGGTGGGCGGAGGTTGGCAGGCGAGGAGCCAGGAAGGGCCGTCGGGGTGATGGTTCGCCCGGCAGGTGGGAACCCCCTCGCTTACACCTGTGCCCCCACCAGACCAGCTGGCGCTGGTACAGTAATTGAGTGGACTCTGGTCCACGTGCTGTATCCGCTGAGGGCCAGTTAGGAAAATAGAAACCACGTGGGGATTTGAGCGAAGAGGATGTAATTCAGGGAACTGGTGAAACAGGTATTATCGGAGGAAGAGAGGCAAAAAGGGAGGCCTGTGGGAAGCCCTGAGGTGCTAACTGCAGGAAGCTGACCCCTCGGTTCCGCGGCTGGGCGGATGTGCTCAGGAACCTCGTGCCTTCCGATCTTTCTGGCGCCCCCTGGTGGGCCTGGTGGGGAGCCCGCCGCAAGCCCTGCTCGCCGCTGTGCTGCAGACTGAGATTCTGCACGTTACCTAGTGTTTGTTGTCATGCTGGGAATGCGCCTCTTGCCAGCCTTCCACATCCTCATCGGAAGCTGGAGAAACGAGACGGTGGTACGAGACACCGAAGAGTACCAGATGGCTCAAATCTGTGCCTCTTTCTATTGCTGGATAACAAATGCCTCCAAATGTTAAAACAATCAATATTATTTTATATGGTTTCTGTCTTCAGCTGAGGGGGCTGGAGGATCTGCTTTCTGGGGGGCTCATGCACATACCCGGTGTGCTCGTGGTGCTGATGGCCATAGGCCTGGGTTCCTCCACACCCCCGCCTCTGGCAGGGCCGCCTGAGTGTGCTCACCACGTGGTGGCTGGCTTCCCCCAGGGCCCTGGCGTGAGAGACAAGGCAGAGCCCTACCTTTTTTATATTAAAAAAATTTTATTATTATGGTTAAAATATACACAACATAAAATTTACCGTTTTAACCATTTTTAACCGTACAGTTCAATGGTATTAAGGGCATTCACATTGTTGTATAACCATCACCACCATCCATCCTTAGGACTTCATCCTCCCGCAGTCTCCCCTGCCCTCACCTCCCCAGAACTCCTAGGAACTTCCATCCTACTTTCTGTCAATCTCTTCTATGCCCCTGCTTCACAAAGCACACCCTGTCATTTCTTCTCGATCCCGTGGTGACACAGGTCTGCTCTATTCAGGGTGAGAGGGACGGTACAGGGTGGATCAGGAGGCAAGGGGCCCTGGAGCCCGTCAGAAGCTGGCTACCGTAGGCTGTATTCCTTACCCTAATCCACGCACCTGAGACTCATACCTGACTCCCTCTGGCATGCAAAGGTCAGCAAATCCTGACCTTTCTGCCTCCCCAGTATCTTGAACCTTTCCCCTGCTCTTCATTCCCACTTCTAATGCAGGAGCTTCTGGCTGGTCCCCATGAGTCCACCTGCTTCCCCATACTCCATCCTCCATTTGGTGAAGAGGGAACTTTCTTTTCTCTTTTAAAAAAAGTTGTTCATTTTCTGATTATAGAAGTAATGCATACTTTTTGTAGAATATTTGGGAAATCCAGAACAGTGTACAGAAGGCAATAAAAATCCCTCCACTCAACAAACTATGTTAATTGCACACACACACACACACTCTTCCAGTCTTCTTTCTAGGTGATGCTGTGCATGTGTGTGTGCACATACAGACTTACATTTCTTTTTATAAAGATTTTATTTTTAAGTAGTCTCTACACCCAAAACATGGGACTCAAACTTCCAACGCTAAGATCAAGAGTTGCGTGCTCCTCTGACTGAGCCAGCCAGGCGCCCCCAAACTTAGAGACTTTTTGAACAGATTTATGATCAGACTATATATAGATTTTAATCTTGCTTTTAAAATTCAATACAGCTCAAACAATTTCTTATGCTATTAAGAGTTGTTCCAACATATATTGACCCTGCATAAAATACATCAGATGGATGCACTGTCTTTTATTCAACCTGTTCCCTCTTGTCAGGAAGTATATTATCGTATTCAAAATGTCATACCACAGATAACTCTGTGATAAACATCCTGTATGGGTATCTTGGCATCTCTGGTTATTTCCTTTGGAGTGATTCTAAGAAGAAGGACTGGTCAAATGTGTGAACACTTGAAAGGCTTTGATGTGTTTTGCCAAATCACCCTCAGGAAGTGTGTGCTCATTTACACCACCCTGGGCAGGGTACGTGAGCTGTCCTACCACACTCTGGCCACCACGAACTCCTATCCCTTGAAACAGGATTTCAAATTACATTTGTTCTGAATGTAAAAGCGATATATATTCATTTAAAAAATTGAGAAGTGAAGAAAAGCGTAACAAATAATGTTTAAAAGACAATGACTTCACCCTGAAAACTTTTGTTAACATTTTGGTGTACATCATATCTGTTCTTTGGTGAATCAATACATCTATGTTTGTGAGGGTATATGCATGTATGTGTGTGTATATACAAATATACACATATGCACACATATCTACACACACACATTTTTAAAAGTATTGAAATTAAACCATTAAGAAATTGATGTTTTTAGGTAAAAATTATTGAATGAAGGCAATTTTATATGTGCCAAGCTAATAGACTTACATAATTGGGGTCAAATTGTATATACAGTTTTATACTATTTCTTCACATAATAATTTACAA